TCAGAACCACCAGCACAAAGACAGGACCCAACAGTTGGATGAAACACAGCTGATAATTACAAAAGTGCTCGGGTGAAGACCATTTTAGATGGTTCCTGTGAAAACACAGGGCAACAGCTACATTTGAGTTTCTCCTTCTACTTAGCACGAACCAGAGAAAACCTTCCCAGTACCAAAGCAAGCAGGATTATATCAGGATGAATATTTGCTGTTACAGTCTCCTTAAGAACTGAAAGTAAGGATAGTTATATATTTTGTCATTGTTTAATGTAGACTTATGAATATTGTTGCAGAGCTATTTTAGAATACCCTTTTTTCACTTGACAGTTCATCTCCAATATTGTAGTCACTGTCTACCTTCCCCTTTCTTTTTTTGCTCCTTCCTTAGGAGAAGCCACTTTCTCTTGCTCCTTTTCCTCCCAGCCCAGTAGCTTGATCCTTCTCAACACATTCTACGTTACAGAGCAACTTTAAGCAGCACTTTGTGCAGAATTAAGTCAACATTTAAACCCTAATATTAGAAAGGGGTCACTGTGAATAGACTAGATCCCTCTGATGCCCCCTTTCTTTAGTTCAAAGGCAACTTAAGAATCCTGTAAAAATACAATCCCTGGACTTCGCTAGTGGATCCAATGTATTTTTGGACACCCTGAAGACCAATATTCCTTTCCCCCAACTCCCTTTCACCTACCAGTCTCCATCTATCGTGACAGCAGATCACACTTCACTACCCACCCTTTGCTCTTCTGACTGCTGCTGGCAGCAGATCAGGAAAACAGAGGGCAAAGCAGAGGCCCAGGTCTCCCATCCCACCACTCCCTCACCAGCAGCATTTGGATTTCACATATCCATCAATTCTATTACACATAAGCTTCCTAGATAACATCAGAAATATTCATAAGATGCTGCTCCACATTTCATAGCTGCGCACGGGGGTTAAGAAGCAAAAGTGAAAAGGAAAAGAACTTCAGTGACTTTTCATAGGTCCATACGTCTCAAGATGAGTATCAGTCCATCTATTCTGGACTGCTGAGCATGACAAACATTTACCTCTCCCCTCTATATTTAAACAAAAGACTTTTCATTAGACTAAAGCATTTCAGTCCTCAGGAGGCAAAATTCTGTTGCCTGGGCAGAAAACCAGGGAGACAAAGGCATGACAAATGCCCAAACCTCTGTGAAATGAGAGGTTTCTAGCCAGGAGATACGTTCACATGCAGCCCGTACTGCATCTAAGCAGAATGATTCCCTGTTCCACTTCCAAGGCTGGTCCCTTCTCTGAGCTCCAACCATGGCTTACTCCCAAAACTTGAAAATTAAATAAATCAGTCCAAAATTTTGAAGATGCATCTTGCCAATCACATGCGTATGGGAAATACACGTCTCATACATATCAGAGGAAACAAGTCCTGCTAATTCTTCGTGAAGGCAGCCAGATCCCAGCCCAAGATATGTCAATGAGCATGGCTTTTATGTGGCATTGAGCACAAACTGAGCACATTAAGGGCATAATCAGCTAACTTAGCTTTCTATACAAGGTGAGCTTTGATGCACCAGAAAACCAAAACACCCCAAAGCCCGTAGGAAACACAAGAGCCAAGACTGGAACTCCTCCCCACAAAGATAGAGATCAACATTTATCATCTAAAAGGCAGTCAGCAAACACAGCTGAATTGATTGGGGTTTTTCCAGCTCATACCTTTGGGCCTCAAACTTCAGGCAACCACAGTCATGCTCACCACCCATCACAGTCAATCACCTTTGGCAAATCAAGGGCAGCAACAATCCCACCCATTTTTCCCCATTTTCCGATAAAATCTTTGCTCCCTCTGGTGGAAGCAGCAAGAGCAAAGACAACGCTCTGAACATAAGCTCACCCAGTAGAGACCTAGAGCCAAGGAGAAAGCTTTGTGCTCCCAAAACACATCACAGAAACCTTAAATATCTCCACGTTAATATCAGACAAGCTAGAATGGCGCGAAGAGCCCCGGTCCGTCAGTAGACAAGGAGCAAGGAAGCTCCAGAGTTAAAAATCAGACCCAGGCCATGCATGTCTGTCACCAGACACTACTTCCGAGAAGGCCGTGGTGGCACAAGAACACACGCAGAAAAACAGAACTCAAGGTGAAAGAATATAATATCTAAAGGCACAACCTCAACACATTATGCAACATACACGACTACAGCAACCAAGGTTTTACAATCATCCCTTCTCTTTGGCTGTAGAAAGGGCATTACTTTTATTCCCACCCTCCCTAAACAAATCATAAAAAAAAAAATATTAGTGCTGCATTTACACGTAAGCATTCATTCACTAACTTTAGGGCCCCAAAAGGCCTAGCTGTCAACAGGATTCTTCCTTTGCCAAGTAGCAGGCTTATATCCTGCACAAAGGGAAAGGATACAGTCCTTATACCAGGCTTTCAGCCCTAGGCATGCACAAATATTTTTGCATAGGAAAACACAGGAGAAAGGTATGCAAGTCTGTCTTTCCACATTTATACAGACAGCCTTAGATTCTCACTTACAAAAAGCCAAGACCAACACCATAAACATTCCCTAGGGAATTCACCTTCCATCTCAGCTAATTTGGAGCAACACAGCTCAAAATAAGAGCCAAAGGAAGGATAAATAACATACTAGCAAGTTACCACAACATCCCTTGCTGGGGATACGCACTTAAGTGGAAAACAAGTTCTTCTCCATTCCAACAGCTTGTGCTCTAGGACCAAGGAGATGGGTGTAGGAACAGCTCTCCAACAGAGGAACAGGGCAGTTCTCTGCTGTTTCCTTTGGACACAGAGACAACTGCTCTCAGCAGCACTTCAGGCAGCTGGGGTAGAGCTGCCACCCTCCATCCCTCACACGGATCTAACTAACACATAACCCAGGTCATTTCCAAACACATCAACACAATATATCAAGCCACATTTGGTATCTGATGTACCAAATACAGCAAAGAAAAACTAATAATAACTACTACTAATGAACTACAATGCAAGGTACAGATTTTGATTCAATTAATTATTCTGATTCTTAGGGATAGAAGCCTCTCCCCGAGCTGAAATACCTACTTACATTCATTGCCAACAAGATGCAGTTCTTTTGCCCTTTGTTTTAAAACCATGTTTGTTTTAAGCACGAGAAGAGCCTTGACACTAGCTGCATTTGGTCTCCCAGAGTGCACACCTCTGCCCTCATTAAGGAGGGCAACCACAGATGGTAATTACCCAACTGTAAATCACAGCCACAGCATTTTGGAGGGTGCAGATCGCCGCGCACCTGCGGCCAAAGCCACGCGGCAGACACGAAAACCGAACCCGCCGCTTCGGAGAGGGGCCACTGAGCACCCGCTCCACGGGCACGACTGCCAAACGCACCTGGATTCAACAGCAGAAACAGCCTACGGACCAGGAAACCTCTCATCCTTCCCATTTCCTTTCTCCAGCATCCAAATATCAGTATTCCTTGTGCTCTCTGCCCTCATTTCCCCCTCCACCGAGCCTGATGCAACTGCAGGGAACACACCTCACACGGCTTCTCTACCACAAACTACCCACCACAGCAGACTCTTGAGCTGAAACACTGCAAACACACACGCCTCACCTTGGTTCAGCTTTCCTGATCATTATTTTTTTTAATAAACACGTTTTCTTTAGAGAATGGCATGATTCTGTAGCTCTTCAATTCATACTCCAGTCAATCACTGCTTTTCATATAACTATGGGCCTATATCATATTGGGTCCACTGATTTTGTTTTTTAAAGGCATCTACATTTATAACTCCTTGTAAGGGATCTTTTAAGCTACCCTATATGGCTATTACTGTCCTCAAACTCTCACAAAAACAAAATAAAAATGAAATAAAACTCTGCCTTTACAGAAGCAATCTGTTGCAAAATATCCAGTCCAGGTAAGTTTTCCAGACTTAGATGGAAAACCAACCTTATTATCTTTAAAATGCCATACCAGCAATGCTCACAACACATTTGGTAGCAGTAAGAGCTCATCTCGAGGCAGGTAGATGTGCAGTTGCTCTCACGAACGGGCCAGCAACTACATGACACCGGCACCCCCGGGCAAGGCCACGGGAGCCGGTCACCCGCTGTCACTTCACTTGTGGCACCCGGCAGAAGCGACGGCTTCAAGGATCCGCACGCGGGGCCCCTGGCTGGCAGGGCTCGGAGCCTGCGGATGAGGGACCGGAGCCGCGGGATCCCCGGCCATGGATCCGGGATGCAGCGTTACCAGGTGCCGGGCTGGACCTGAGGCACCAGGACAAGCTCCGCAGGAGCTCGGGAGCATCCAGGAGGCTACACGAGGCAACTGTCAGGTTAAGGGCATATATGAAGACATATCCATGCATCTCGCCCCCGTTCCTGTAAGGGGTTGGGGAAGGAAAGCCAAACCAACAGCCCCATCACTTCCAAGAGCGTCTTCCAGCATCCTTCCTCGGCGGTTACTTCCTAATTGCTTCTCAGGTGCATCTTAACGAGCCAAACCACAAACTCTCCTCCACAGGAGCCCAGGGCGCTTTTGCTTCCCTGGCAGGTGCTGCTCATTCCCACGCTGCCCGCGGCGCCTTCTCCAAGGAAAAACCTCGCTCAAGGAAAACCTCACTCCCACCTCCCCAGCATCACCCCTCCTTGGGGAGGGGGCTCCTCGGGAAAGCCGCCTTTCCCGAGCCACGGCAGCGGCGCCACCAGCAGGAGCGCGGCCCCCGAAATCCCTGGAAATCGAGGCGGGCGCACGGGG